GCCGTGGTGGCCGTGGTGGTAGTGGTGGTGGTGGCGGTCCTAGTGGCCCCGCTCCCGGAGGCTCCTCTAGTGCTGGTGGAGCTGTGAGCCGTGGTGGTGGTCGCCCTGGGACTCTTCCCCCCTGCACGTATGTTCGCCGCCACGGTCCCCACGCCGGCACGCCGTGTGGTCAGACCAACCACCCCCCTGCCACTTGCTTCAAGGCGCTTGATGACGCCTGGTTCGACCGCGGCAACACTGGTACACCCCTCCTCGCTGGAACAGTGTTACCCCTCGCCCGTCCCTCGTGGACATCCAAACCCTCCCCTCCTTCCTCCCCGCTCACCTCCGTCTACTCACCCCTTCCCTCCCCTCCCAGTTCCAGCAGTTTCAGCAGCACCAGCAGCAGCAGCAGCAGTACTTCCCGCAGCAGCAGCAGCCGCAGTTTCTTCAGCAGCAGCAGCCGCCACACTTTCTGCCGCAGCAGCCCCCACAGCCGCAGTTCTTCCAGCAGCAGCAGCCGCAGCAGTACCTTCCCCCACAGTGGCAGCAACAGCCGATGACCTTTGGCGCAGCGGCCATGGCCGCTCATGCCTCCCTTGCCCCCCCTGCCTGGGGTTCCATTCCCTCTGGCCCCCCGAGTGTCCCAGACTCTCAGAGCAGTTTCCTTGGTCATGTTGCTGCTGCACCTTCCGTCGCTTCCATGTATCCCTCTGCTATCAATGAAACCTCTTTCCAGTACCCCGTGTCACCTCCCCCCCCTTCCTCCCCCACCTTGGACTTTGTCCTTAATAGTGGGGCCACAGAAACCGCACTCAAAGACGCTGGCACCCTCACCCCCCTCCCACTTCCTACCCAGGTTCATGGTGCTGACTCCAGCTTCTCCATCCCATGCACTCACCTCTCCACCCTCCCCTGCATCGCTTTCCCTTCAGGTAAGGTCACAGGTCTCCACATCCCTACCCTTCGCAACAACCTCCTCTCTCACCGAGAACTCCAAGGTGTCGGTATTACCGCCATTTACCCCGACCACAGTCGGTACTCCACTGTCTTTTTCCTCCACACCAAAGATCAGG